AGAGAGAGAGAGAGAGAGAGAGAGAGAGAGAGAGAGAGAGAGTCGTCGGTGCCGGAAGAGATCGATGGTCAACCGAGTGTGGATGAGTGAGCTGTAGTATTTACCCTCGAATTTTCACTATTACTCTATCTCAATATATTTTTATTTTGTTACTACTGTTAACTTTCGTTATTTTTTCCGTTAGCATGTATAATACATATGACTTTTAAGGAGTAAAAGAATATTTTTCATGTCATCTTTTTTTAAGAAATCCCTGTTTTATCCTTAACTCTTGAAAAAAAAAATGAAAACATAGAAAATTGGCGAAAACTAAATAATTGACATACTAATAACTGAAAAAAAGATAAATATGAATAATAGTATTAGACAATAAAAAATTGTTTTAAATTTGATAAATATGGCCACTTTGATAAAACTAAATAAAATATTTTAAGAAAAAGAATAAACACAAAGTAAATAAAGGGAAAATGCCTCAATAACAAAAAAGGTCAAATGACAAAAATTGATATTGATTATGTTCAAAGGGTTAATTAATGTAAGAAATGATTGATAGAAAAAAATGTTGTGCAAAAATTATGCAAGTAAATGAAATCCTCAACTCACGAAAGAAAATGATTTACCAAAATCCAGGGTGATCTTTTTAAGTAGCTTTAACTAATCAATCTATTTTTTCATTTAATTAACCATTTAAAAATATTTATGAGGAGTGTCCAATTTTTGTTATTTGACTTTTATGCTATTGAGGCCTTTTTCCTTTTTACTTAATTGTGTTCCCCTCCCTTTCAATATCTAATTGCTTCTATTAATATTTTCATAAAAAAATTTATAAATTTTATTTATAAATTTTGTTTTTGATATATTTTTGTAGTAATATTTTAGTTAATTTATTTTTCCCATTTTCTTTAGTTTTTTATTTTCTTTTTACAGAAGCCAAGTGTAAAAGAGAAAATTAATAAAATAAAAAAAAAGTGAGATGGAATCCCCCATTAGGTAAAATGCTTACGGAAGATAGAAGAGATAGTTAAGGGCGGTAACAAAATGAAAGTTCGGAGGGGTAATGTGCAGTAGTTGAAAGTTTCAAGAGAAACATGTACAATATTCAAAGTTCAGGAGTTTTGTATAATTTTCTCAATTTTCTTTTCTCCATAAAAATGGTCCTAAATTGTGACCCATGTTCATTTCCATTTACCACCACGAGGCATAGGTGTTTTGATCTTAAATTCGCATGTTTTAAGAAAAAACCCACAGGTCAGTACTCAGCTTTTTTTTTTTTAAACTCACGGTGGAAAAAAAATAAATATCCACGCAAAGTTTAGACAATGCGACATAAATTTTTTTTCAAGTTATAAATTGAAATTATATCATAAGTAGGTTGATTTTACCATTCTGATATTTTAAAAGATATTTATATAAAGTAAAAATTACCTCATACTTTTAAGGAACCCCCACAAATATCCTTAATTGCTTATCTTATAAATATGTGTCCATGGAAAATCGTAAATTAACGATTCTATCTGATCTCTTGGGCCTAATACCCTAAAAAAACCTCCAACTTTAGCTCTTGTCCCAATTTTGTCCTAAACTTTTCTTTATCCTATTAAAAACCCCAACTTTAGGTCTAGTCCCAATTATACCATAGACATTTTTTATCTCATAAAAAACCCTCAACTTTAGGTCTAATATCAATTATACCCTAAACTAGAAAATCCCAGCTTTAGGTTCAATTTCAATTTCGCTATAATTTTTTTTGTCTAAAGAAAGATGACCAATTTTTACTTAAATCCCAAATCTGTTTTCCATTAACCCTCCGTCAAAATTGCCTGAGGGATTTTGCGCTCGTCAATCTCTTGTGCTTGGGAATGTTCAATCTCTCGCGATAAGAGAGTTTGCATTCGGTACACTCAAACAGCTTGTGCTTGAAAGTTTTCCATGTCTCGGTTATTAATGAGAAATTTTGGATGGAAGGTTAATGGGGACATATTTATGACTCAAGTAAAAGTTTGTGGTTTTTTATGAGATTGTATAAATTTTAGGGTAAAATTGGAATAATACCTAAAGTTTCGGATTTTTCATAAGACAAAAAAAAAGTTTATGGTAGAATTAGGATAAAATTTAAAGTTGAGGGTTTTTTATGGGACGAAAAAAGTTGAGGGTAGAATTGGAACAAGACATAAAGTTTGAAGTTTTTGTGAGACAAAAAATAAAATTGGGACAAAAGTTAAAGTTAAAGGTGTTTTAGGGTATTAGGCCGATGTCTTGCGTGCTCAAATATTAAAATTTAGATATATTCTATCCTACAACAACAGTCCTAAAATAATTAATTAGAAAAATATTCTTCTCTTTCTATATATATTCAGACAATTTATTAGTATTCTGCATTTTCATCAATAGTCTTCTCCATTATGTAAGGATTCGAATATTTCGTAATAAAGTAATTTGGAGGATTTCTAACCTACAACAACAGTCTTATAAAAAATTCAAATTCTAAATTAATCCTCTCTCTATCTCTCTCTATATATATATTTGTACAATTTATAAGTATTTTGTATATTTATCAATGGACTTCTCCATTATATAATGATTCAAATATTACGTAATAAAGTAATTTTGCTTAATATTTCAGATCTCAATAATTTGCATACACCAAAACACTTGTTCATATTTGCTAGTATATAAATAAAAATAGAAAATTTGGTCTTTCTAATATAAACAAAAAGGAAAAAAAAAACAAACTGGTGTTTGGTAGACTAGGCTCCATTATTTTCATGGAAAATATATTCCGAAAAAACATTTTTCTTATCTTCCGGCTTTTGGTTCACTTAGGAAAATGAGTTAATGGTGTTTTCTTAATCAATAGAAAATCTATGCTTAAATTCAGGAAAATAATTACCTTTACAAAAAAGTCGAAAAACATTTTCCAAATGTATGACTAGGTATCGGCATTTGGACTCGAAATTCTGCGCTTGGTTATAGAAACCCCAACGCTGATTCCAAGTCCTTGGCATTCAAGACTAGGTCTCCGTCGCCCGGTACGGGTCCATCGAGGCTGAGCTCGGGCCCCTAATGCTCATGTTTGAGTCCATCTAGGCCAAGCCCGAAGACTTAGTGCTTTTGCCTAATGACCTGGCACCTGAGCTTGGGTGCAAAAAGGCCGTGTTTGGGTCCTCGGAACTCAAGCTTGAGTCCATGAAGGCCGTGCTCGAGTTCTTGACATTGGAGATTGGGTTCTTAGTTAATGAAACATTTGTTCTAATAAAAAAATATTTTTAAAAAATAATATTTTTATTTTTTCTTTTATTTTCTTTCATTTTATTTTCTTTTATTTTCTTTTTGATTCTTCCTCGGTTGGTTGCAGCCATGGCAATCGTCGACAATCGGCCACAAGTAAGGGACGAGCTTGCCCTAGATCGGCAAGGCTCCACCTCGCTATAGTCGGCGAGGTGGAGCTTGCCTAGGGTCGCCAAAATCTTGCGAGATCGAGCCTCGCCGGCCTAGGGCAAGCTCATCCCTTGCCTGCAGCCGGTCATATGCAACCAGCTGAGGAAGAAAGAAAAAGAAAAAGAAAGAAAAGGAAAAAAAATTAAAAAGAAAAAGAAATTTAAAAATAATTAAAACATTCCAATTTTTTGGTAATTTTTTTAAGGAAAATCAAATCAAATATCGAATGGTGAAAAATATATTCTAATTCATTTTCAGGTTTCAGCTAAACACCTGAAAATATTATCATTTTCCTTTAATGAATAATAACTTTCTAAAAAATAGGGAAAATTCTAAATAAAGGCCCGAAGTGCTCTCATTTTCTCAAATAAAGGCCATGAAGTAGACCTTGTGTCAAATAAAGATTTGAAGTGCTCTTATTTTTTCAAATAGGGGCCTAAACTGAATATTGTCTTAAATAAGGGTCTGAAGTGGTTATCTCAGTCTCAAAAAATGGCCTAACCTCACCGGAGTCAAGGGCATTTTCGTCTTCTTAATTTTTTTTTGATTTTTTTCTTTCGTTTTTCCTTTTCGTGTTTTTTTCCATAAAAAGCAAACTCAAAAAAAAAAAATTGTGGGTGGACTGGCAAGGCTAGGGGGCTTGTGGCTGCCACCCCATTGCCAATGAGGCGACGGCCACTGGCGCCTCAATAAGGGCCGGCGACCCTCGCCAGAACTAGGAGGGTCGGGCGTCCCTCTCCTAGATTTGGCGAGAGTCGCTGGCCCTTATTTGAGAAAATGATTACACTTCGAGCTTTTATTTGGAATTTTCCCTACAAAATATTTTTCAGAATTATCACATTTTCTGCTAAACAAAATTCAACATATTGCTCCGTTTGTTTCACGGAAAATAAATTTCGGGAAAAGGTTTTTCGAATTTTCTGGTGTTCATTTCACGGAAAATAACATTTCACGGAAAACATTTTCCTTCCTGTGGACAAAATACCTTCACTTTTGAGGAAAATAACTTCCTCTTTCTCAAAAGAGGAAAACATTTTCCTTCTTCTTCTTTCACCATTTATTTGCCATATTTTCTTTTTCTTTTTTTTTTTCCTTCTGCTTCTTCTCCCTTAGCCAGTCGTCAGCTACGGTGGCGGCCGACGACCGGCCTCAAGTGAGCTCAAGCCTCACCACAGGCCGACAAGGCCGAGCTCGCCCGAGGCCAGCGAGTTCGAGCCTCGCTGACCTGTGGCGAGCTCGGGCGAGCTCGGCCTCGCCACAGGCTGGTCGCCTGCCATCGCCATGGCCAGCGACCTGCCGGAGAAGAAGAAGAAGGAAAAAGAAGAAAAAGAAAAAATTAATATTTTTTAAAAAAATAAAATTAAAAATTATTAAAAGTATTGCAAGGAGGAAAATCTTTTTTATACCGAACGACGGAAAATATTTTTCGAGACTTTTTCAGTTTCAGTCGAATATTGAAAAATTGTGTCATTTTCTAGAAAAGTAACTTTTCGAAAAATATTTTTCAAAAATATAATATTTTCTGCTAAACGAAACGGAATAAGAAACTTCGTTAATTTTGCCTCCAAAACTTGTCCACATTGCGAACCTGGAAAACCATTCCAGCCTTCATCTCTGTTGAAGTTCCGGCAAAAGCTGCACCATATTCATGCTCTCTCAAGCCTCTCATGACCATTCCACTCAGACCCAAATTCCGTCATCTCCGTCAGATCGCTTCTCCATCTCCACCGAATCCGAGATGGGTCTCCTCTGCTACCGCCACCGAGCCGCCTCCCCATCTGCGAGACCACATCCTCACATTCTTCAACGCCAGAGGCACCCACGAGCAAGGCTACGACCGCGAGCTGGCCCTCGTGTCGGCCCTCAAGTCCTGCGCCTCTCTCTCGGCCATTCCTCAGGGTCGCCAGCTCCACTCCCTCGTCCTCAAAACAGGGCTCCTCGCCAACTCCTTCGTGCGCAACAGCTTGACCAATGTGTACGCGAAGTGCGGCTTGATGGATGAGGCTGGGGTTCTGTTTGGTTCCTGCGGCGGCTCTGGTGTGGTTTGCTGTAATATAATGATTGCTGGGTACGTGAGGTCTGGCCGTTTGCGGGATGCTTTCCAAGTGTTTGAGAAAATGACGATGAAAGAGTGTGTTTCGTATACGACTATGATAATGGGGTTCGCGCAAAATAAGTTTTGGGGGGAGGCCATCGAGGTCTTCAAGGATATGCGGGTTGCTGGCGTCATCCCTAATGAGGCGACTTTGGCGAGTGTCATCCCTGCTTGCTCGCATTCTGGGGAACTATGGAACTGTAGAATGCTTCATGCTTTGGCGATTAAATTGCTACTTGACAGTTCTGTTATTGTATCGACAAATTTGTTGCACATGTATTGTATTTGTTCGAGCATAGAGGAAGCGAGCAGGTTATTCGAGGAGATGCCCAAGAAGAATGTAGTTTCATGGAACGTGATGTTGAACGGATATTCGAAGGCAGGACTCGTTGATTTGGCTGGACAATTGTTTGAGAAGATTCCAAGTAGAGATGTGGTTTCGTGGGGTACATTGATCGATAGTTATTTGCGAGTGCAGAGGTTAAGCGAAGCATTGATCATGTGCCGTGAAATGCTTCGGTCTGGATTGAGGCCGAATGATGTGATGCTCGTTGATTTGGTTTCGGCTTGTGCTAGATCGGTGCTAGCCGTGGAGGGGCAGCAACTTCATAATTTGATAGTGAGATGTGGTTTTGACTGTTCTGACTTTGTCCAGGCAACTATAATCCATTTCTATGCAGCTTGTGGCAGGATCGACCTTGCTCATCTGCAATTCGAGATTGGATCAAATGACCACCTTGCATCTCTGAATGCCCTCATTGCAGGATTTGTAAGAAATGGAATGATTGACCAGGCTAGGCAGATGTTCAACCAGATGTCAGAAAGGGATGTCTTCTCATGGACCACCATGATTTCTTGTTATGCACAGCAGGAGCAGCCAAATATGGCTCTTGAACTCTTTCACAAGATGGTCGCAAGTGGGCTCTGCCCTAATGAAGTAACAATGGCGAGCGCCTTCTCCGCCATTGCTGCTTTGGGTTCCCTGAAAGAAGGATCATGGGCTCATGAATATGTACAGAAGAACTCCATCCCTCTCAATGACAATTTGAGTGCATCAATAATTGACATGTATGCAAAGTGCGGTAGCATCACTTCTGCCCTGGAAGTGTTTCATCAAGTTCGAGACAAGGGTCGGGACGTGTCACCATGGAATGCAATTATATGTGGGTTGGCGATGCATGGACATGCAAATCTGTCTCTTGCAATATTCTCCAACTTGCAGAAGCGAAACATCAGGCTTAATTCAATTACATTTATTGGAGCCCTAACTGCATGTTGCCACGCGGGCCTAGTTGAGGAAGGGAAAAAAATCTTTAGAAGCATGAAGGTTTTGTATGATGTGGATCCAGATGTTAAGCACTATGGTTGTATGGTGGACATATTAGGTAGAGCTGGGAGAATACAAGAAGCTACAGAATTGATTAGGACCATGCCCTTGGAAGCAGATGCTGCAGTATGGGGTGCGCTTTTGTCGGCGTGCAGAACACATGGGAATGTGGAGATAGGAGAGTGGGCTGCGCAGAGCTTGGAAAATTTGCAGCCAACTCATGGGCCTTGTAGGGTTCTTCTGTCAAACATATATGCAGACGTAGGGAGGTGGCATGATGCCTTTTCAGCGAGAAGAGTTATTCACAGTCAAGGACTGAAGAGATTGCCTGGTTGTAGCGGTGTTGGGTGATTCAGCGGCTGCTTCTACCTGTTGAGATACAGTCGGATCCATGGGTTTGTTCTGCCCCCAAAAGTAACAGTCGTTACTGACTATGTCCAGTAAACTGATGCCACATGGCCATAACCTCATGCAGGACCCACAGTTTTTGCTGCCCTGTATTGACTTCATATATGGCTTCAGGCAAGTGTTTCTCGGAATAGTGGGTCTTGAGATGGGAGAGGCATCACAGGTTCACAGCTCAATTGGAAACATTCGCTCAAGATTTCAACGTTCACAGACCCGCCATGCTTACATTTCCATGGTCGATGCGCTGAAGAAAAGCATCAGATGTGCATTGCTCGTCCTGTTATGGGATTTCAAAGATGTGCAAAGGCAATCCATCTCAGCTACTAATTGCCTTCTCGAATTGTTATCTTGTCAGCATAATTCACATAGAGTGCATTCTGCTGGCGACCTGCGCATTCCATAGTCCTTGCGATTCCAGCATCATCACTCTCATGAACTGGCTCAGTTCCAGACGCCAAAGAGCTTGAGGATCTCTCCTTGTCCGAGACCATTACTGCAATGGCACATGTTTTTTCTTGCTGGTCACTATGGCACGGTGTTCTTCTTCCTTGCTTTGGTGGTCGAACCCCCGGCCTCCCTCTCTAGCACTTTATTCCCTAACCCGCTAGCCAACTTGCTGAACACCTAATGGTTTCGGCTATGCCAAAGTTAAAGCTGTTGGAAACAGTCATCTCGCGAGTATAGAAGCCCAAATATACTACCTCAATACACCTGTGCCGGAAGGGCTAATCTTTTGAGTGAGGGAAAGCTGGAGTACTGCCAAGAGAGAAGAGAAAGAAGAGGAACCACTACCTAATGCCACCTAGCCTGACTTAATGTAAATGAAAACCTGGGTTGGCATCTTCAGGATTGGGTTATTTCAGCTAGTTATTATGATTATTTATTTGGCTAATTTGATAAGAATTTCATACGATTTTGTGGAGCATGTCTGGACATGAACTGCACGGAATATCTGATCATAGGAGAATCTTGGAAAACCCATGACCAAGTCTGTCTGATCAAGTTTAGACCACATGAAGTGAACTTTTGTTTCCGAAATTTCTGGGATGAGATGTCTTGGCATGTTTCTTTCTCTTTACCGTCCTCCATGTATTTCTTGTTTTTGCCTTAAGTGAACTGTGCATTAAATTAAATAATCTCAAAAGATACATATTCTCTATATGGGCACCATTATACTTTACTTCACAAACATCATCGCTTTTCTAGGAGTCGGAACGAAAGTATGTACTTTTTTCGTACTCAAACTGCGCTATTTGTTTTTCTAATCTGTTATTAGACATTTGGATATCAACAACGGATACCGACAAGAACTTTTTTATTATCTATTATTAGATACTTAGATATCGACAACGATGACGGCCAAAAATAGAGTGATTATGGTCTCATTGGGGAGGCTTAGAGCCAGCCCAAAAGATTTTTTTTACTTTTTTACAAAAATAAACCAAATCTTTATTGTTAGAATATCAATGGAAAAAGTCTTACGGAATTTTCAAAAGTTAATTTGCGTATATTTGATCTTTTGAATTAATTATACTGAACAATGCTTAAAAAAATAAAATTTAAATACTAAAATTTCAGAAAAAAAACAATTGTATTTCTTCTTCCAACAAAGGGAGAATCCATGTATGCCATGAGACGAACATCGAACAATGCATATCACAAAATAATGAACAAAAAATCAATTTAAAAAAATATTTAACATTCGAACACTCTCGCTATTCCCATTATCTCTAATGTTTATTAATTTAAATCAAAAGTATTTCTCATCTTACTATATGTATACCATTTCAATGAATAACCCAATCACACTTTTTCGTGTTTTTTTTTTGCATACACATACATCTATTTTTTACACAAACTAAAAAAAATATAAAATTAGGATTTTAGACTGTCATTGCATAGAAACTGTAATTTGCCTTTTTTTTAAAAAATTTAATCCCTCTTTTTCTAAACTATCTTTTATTTATTTTTATTTTTTCCATATGCCCTTTTTTTCCATATACTCCCATTTTTCCCTCTTCTTTACTTTGAAGAGAAGACCTAAAGCTTGGCCTGCACACCCGCCGAGCGAGCGAACGCGCCGCCGCACCACCGCCAGCCAGGGCGGCGCAAAACCGGACGCGCAGCCGCCGCCTCCTGCTTCTCATGGATCCCGGTCGATTCTGCTAGAGTTTAACGAGGTCAGTGCCCCGAATCCGCCGTTCGCCGTTGAGTTCTGTTTGGTGAAAATGCGTTGCTGTTCGCTTCTTCTTGCGTATGAAGCTCGAGCGAAAGACGAAATCGTCGCGAATAGCGCTTTGGCGGGTAAAGCCCGTCTTTGGGGATGCTTTGAGGATGTTTCGGCTACTACCAACCAAAGAAAAAAGCAGAAATTTTTGAAGAGAACTTGAGCGTTGCAAGTTTGCGCCGAAGACATATGGCTTCTTTGCGGCTTGTTTCGATTTTTCTAGGTGGTTTTAGTATCTGGGTCGTTGGTTTTAATCAGTAAATCTCTGCACTTTTTGTTGGAAACTTCGCGCCCCGAAGGGTAGCTAGTTGAGGTAAAGGAATGAAATTTATGATTGTCTAGGTGGTTTTGGTATTTGGGTCCTTTGTTTTAACCAGTAGATCTCTGCACTTTTGATTGGAAACTTCGCGCCACGAAGGGTAGCTAGTAAGTTGAGGTAAAGGAATGAAATTTATGATTGAGAGAAAGAAGACTGGTCGAGAAGTTGTTGAACTAAAAGTATTGAATTCAGTTGTTTGCTTTGTGCTTGCGCATATATATATATATATCCGAAACCTCAGTTAGGGCGAGTGCTGGGATGGACTCTAGGCGAGATCATGTGTATTTCTTTAGTTGTACTAGCTCCAGACTCAGCATATAGTTCTTGATTTTCTCACCTTGCAGGTTCAACGGGTAGTCCAGTGTTGGACTGTTGAATTGGAGGCAACATCATTTGAGGATAAGGCGACTTTTGGACCGTGTTAGAATGAAGACACTTGCGGGCCGTGTTATTTCCTCCAAGCCGATATCTCTCCCTAAAGCTGCCAAGATCCTCTCCAAGTTTGTGACGGTCGAGAACGGTGCTTCCCATGCTATCAGCGCTTATCTTCAGCGTGCTTCCACTGCCTTTGATGAGCTGGCTCATTTGCACAAGGAACTAAAGGCCCCTAAATCTGAACGCAAAAGCAAGCACCGCAAGTTAGATTGTGCTGAAGAGCCAACTCAAGAGACTGAGCCGAGTGTGGAACCGAGACAGACTGTAATGGTTGAACTCAGTGAAGAGACGAGTCATGGGGATCACGAGGGTTTGGGTGGCAATAGAAAAAAGCAAAAGAAGTCGAAGAAGAAGAAGGTGGATGCAGATCATACTGGTAATCTTGGGGTCAATGGGATGAAGGCTGGAGTGAGGAATGAAGGCAATGTGATGGCTGTTGACGAGGCAAAGAAGAAGGCAGGTGAGAGCACTGAAGGGGAAGAGAAAGGTGGAGAGGATTTCTCGGAGCAGTCGAGTAAGAAGAAGAAAAAGAAAAAGGAAAGAGATGACAGTAGTTTACTGGATAATGGGGTTGTAGTTAAAGATCGAGAGAGTTCTAAGAAAAAGAGACGGCGTGAGGAGATTCAAGAGGGGCAAGAAGAAGATGGTTTGACGGAGCGCCCGAATAAGAAGACAAAGAAGAGGAAAAACTCAGATGAACATTAGTTGGGAAATAACAGCAATTCATTTTTGCAGTTTTGTCGTCCTGTATTAGCTTTGTAGAATTTTGATCTGTGATGCCGAAGAGGCACTTCTGTTGTTGGTTAGGATGTTAAAGAATACAAGGCGGAGGATTTTTTTCTTTTTTGACAAGCTCATATTTCCTTGGTTCATGTTCTGTAAGATTTGCTATAGGCGTGAATTCCTGCCTAATTGTAGTAATGGAAACTGTATTGAGTTATCATACTGCCACGGCTCTTGTTTAGCTGAGTGTAATCCTCGATCTCTTATTATTTCTTGCACTGTTGTCCAATAATTAACGCATCTTTGCTAATTTCATGATTAAGGACCAAAAATCACACTTGCAATGTTAATATTTTCGTTTGCTTTCTTATTGTGGGTTCCCCTGTTGTTAGTTTCTTTTCAGAGTTTTCTCTATATTGTTAATGCCTGTTCTTCACTAGATCGTCTCGTGTCCTTTTCAAAGTGCTGTGCACATTCTCTAATGGTAAAAAGTCTAGGATACGAGAAGGGGGAAGGGGGTTGTCAAATTTATTGTTATTGGGTCACCTGGCATTTTATTTCAATTGTGACACAGATTGTCCTTATCATGCACTTGTTGCATTGTTTAGAGCCCGTTTGCTGAAATTGTATAGGTGAAAATGACAGCATGGCCGTGTTTGACGCTTTTTACTTGGGGAAGGCTCTGGCTAAGCGCTAAACGAGCGTATTGAGTCCACGGTTGGGGAGTTCTTAAGCACAATCGGGAGGTTGCAAGCTGAACAACAGAAGCAAGTGCAAGAATTCCAGGTAATTAGCATGTGCCTGTTTGATCTCATGATGCTTCCCTCGATGCAATCTAATTATGAAGCTCATTGATCTGAAGTCATCAGGGAGGTTTGTTCCCTACATAAAGAACCCAATTTGATGATGAAAAAAAGGTGCTGTCTGGGAACATTTTCATAAGAAGCTGTATCATCATTGAGAATAAGAAGGATGTCATTGGATGAAAACTATCATGATCCTTTTAGTGGCTGTACTCAATATTTATTAGGATGTAGAATAGATATTATCTGTAGGAGTTAGGACTGAAACAGTCTTGCGAATTGAAAGCCTTATACAAGTAATTAAAGAACTTATCTATTTTTTAGCACAAAGAATACAAGGGCTGGTAATTCTCTGATCGTATGAAAATGCAATTGTAATCACTCATTCTACTAGATTTTTGTAGATTGCTGTATCTCGCATTAGACGGTTTCGACTTCTCTTGTCATCCTTCAAGCTGGTCTTTACGACTTCAGCAGATAACTACAGATTAACCAGTTGAAAAAGCCTTGTAACATTATACTGGAAGTGGTAAGAGTCCATTGCTTTATTGAATTTTTTTTTTTATTGATTTGTATGCATAAACATCAATATCAATTTTTTCACAGGAAGAGGTGTCTGAAAGAGCCCAGAGGGCCAAGGAAATAGCAGCCCGTGAAGCAGCGAAGCTCAGGGGCTGATTCTAACATCTGCTGCAGCAAATACCGGTAACGGGGTGTCGTTTCACCCACCTGATCCTCAACTACCAGTTCAGTTTCACCTTTGGTTGACTTGAATGCGGATTCTGATAGCAATGACCCTGCTGTAGGTGCATCAAATGATGGATGATGACTCTGCTTTATGTAGAAGTATATATTGCACTTTATGTTTGGTAAAGTCGATAACAAAATGGATCATCTCATTCTCTTCACCAGTTAACCTCCTGCGTTTTGTTTGTTGAGCTGAACTATTTGAGCATGTGATTTACTGTGATTGGATGCTGTATTCTTAGTGCACCAGCTTTTTTGTGGGGTTGAGACAGAGAGAGGCGTGTGTCGCTGCAAATGCATTTTCATTCATTGAACATCCGCTTGCTTCGTAAATACAGTCATGACTTGGTGTGGATGATTGCTTTTTAGAATCATGAACTGGATCAATGTCAAATAGTTACGTCTTGCCATGAACATCAAGGAGAACGACCCTCTGAAGTGCACCTGGTCGACTATTGTGCAAATATGGTTACTAACTGGATAATACTTGCCCTTCACGTCACTTTTTCCCCCTTCATTGGTAGAAGAATGTCACTCTCTCATGCGGATTCAAAATGCGCATTTAAGTGCAATATTTTGAGGTTTCGAAGGCGATTCGGAGGACGGTCAATTGGACTGCTTGCAGGTGAAAAATATATCTCCACCATGACATAATTGCAGATGCTATGTTATGTTCGGGTCACCATCTTCTTCTCATTGACAGTAGTGAATGATACTATCCATGGTTTAATATGAGGCTATGTGTCCTCAATTAGCTTAGGATCCATCTGTGTGGCGCCGGTGCCGCTCAAACATTTGCCAGTGGGGCGAGTGCTGCTTGTCTA